GGCTGCTGCTCTCCTGGAGCCCCTCAGCCCTGCTGGGGAGCTTTGGGAATGGGGGTAACGCTCTTGGGACGGTGAAATCGAGCAGGATGTGCAGCTTCCCTGGGTGGACGTGGCATCCCCGGGTCCTCCCCAGGCTCTAAAACAGACCTGCTGGTCCTCAGAGGTGGTGGATGGGTTGGTGCAGGTCCTTCCTGCAGAGCTTGGAGCCTGGTGCTATGGGCACTGCTCTCGTGGTCCGTGGGTCCCCAGGTCCTGTCCTCTGATGCCACTGGCACAGCCACACACCAAATCAGCCCCAAACTCAGCAACTCACAGGGTGTCCTGCTGCCATTGAGCTCCCCAGCTTCAAATCTGAGCTTTTCCTTCCCATCCCAAGGGGTTGGGTCCCACAGCCCATCAGCACCGTCTGTTTTCCAAGCTGTGGGAAGCTGAGCATCCTCCATTGCCCTGTTTTCTGCCAGTGCTCCCCACCAGGACAGACCTGCAGCCAAAGGTGGGCGACTGGCACAGATCCACCTCCAGAGATGGAGGAGCAGAACATCTCCAGAAGCTGCAGGGCAACTTGAGCTCGAGCTGATGTGGTTTCCCCCTGCCCCACTGTGACCATCCCTGCAGGCTCTATCACTTTGGCCAAAATACAGCACCCATTTTACTTCTCCAACCGAGGGACAGATACAAAAGACCCAACTGTGGGAATCGGCCCCAGACACCGAATGTCCCAAGACCTGGGTAATGCTGGAGGAGCCCGTTGCTCCCACCCCTGTCCTGGTGGCAGGAGGGATCAGGGCCAGCAGTGCAGCCAGATGTCCCCTGCACGCGGCCTCGGCCCCTCGTCTGGCAGCAGCTCGTTAGGGCCAGGGAGGTCAGACAGCTTGGAAACCTCCCAGGGGAAGGGAAAAAATGCATTTCCTCCCGATCTGCTCCGACGAGTAGCAACTCAACCGGTACTAATCTGGATTAGGAGGAGAGAAGGTGAGGAGCTGTTGGCCTGCGTTGGAGGAATTAATTGTAAGGAAGTGCTAATTC